TGGGCCGGAGGAGCCGCGGCTGCTGTGGCCCACTGACACTCCTTCTGCTCCCCTGGCGCCGAGGCAGCCCTTCCCCCGTGCTCCGGTGACCGCTCGGACCCGCTGTGTCCGGTGTATGCCGGGTCCCTGCGGCGGGGAGCGGGACTGTGACCGGAGGAGCGGCTGTCCCCACCATCAGAGCGCGGTTCGCTCCGAGCCTCGGATGGGTCGTTTCTGTGCCCTGCCCCTTGAAGCCCAGTTTTGACAGGACAGCTCCTAAGCTCAGTGGAGCTAATCCTCAGATCTGAGTGGGGATGCACGCACGGCTGCGTTCTCTGCCCCTCGTCCTGTCTCTAAAATTAGCAGCTCCCCAAGTTGAGAAGGATCCACCCTCGTACAAAAGCACTGCTATGCAAACTGTCCTGCAGTGATCATGAGTGGGTTGAAACACCAGCTCTTTAGTAATCATTAATTTACTCTGTTAAGGGGAAAACAAAATTAAATCTTGCATGTAAATCAATGTGGTTTTTGCTTTCCCAGACCAGAACAAAGAGGCTGCGGCTCATTATCAAAATGCAGTATTCCCATCACTGTGAGCACCTTTTAGAGAGACTGAACAAGCAGCGAGAAGCCGGCTTTCTTTGTGACTGCACTGTTGTTATTGGCGAATTCCAGTTCAAAGCACACAGAAATGTGCTTGCCTCTTTCAGCGAGTACTTCGGTGCATTTTACAGAGATGCGTCTGACAACAATGTTGTTTTGGATCAGACTCAAGTGAAAGCTGATGGATTCCAAAAGCTCCTGGAGTTTATTTATACGGGAAACTTAAACCTTGACAGGTAACACATGCTATTAAAGGGGGAAAGAAAACAGAGACATAAACTTTGTGTTAGGTGGTTAGGGGTTTTTGTTCTTTGTAGTAAGTTGTGGAGGACCAAATAGTAGTGGATATGACGCATATGAACAAGTCAAAGATCATCTGTTTGTGTGTTTTAAAATACCACATGGTACATGAGTGCCAAAACAAAAGTATTTTCTGGTATTTCACTGATTGCTAGTTTCACTCTCCGAGTCTTTCTGTCTGAATTGGAAGCGATTAAAAATCTTGCATGATTGCCAGGAGAGGGAAGGATCAGGGTATTCATGCTGAAGTTGAATTATAGAAGTCCATTTTTGCTGAGAGCACAGAAACTGTGTATGAGGTAGAGACTAAAGTCTGAGGAATGTGTGAGGATGGGCACTGTTTTTTAAAAAAATAGATTTGCTAGAGTGTTCATGATCTGTTACTTAGAGTCGTGTGTTACAGTGCCCAAATGAGTCACAGAAGAAGTTTTCCCACTTACTGTGTTGTTTTTATGCACATTGTGTTACTTCATGTACAGTGAGGATTCTTTGTAGTGTTTCTCTCTCAGGGAAAGAAAGAGATTAACTCTCATGAGAGGAGTGTGATTACTTAGATGTATGTAAACTAGGATTTTTTACTCCTTTCCCCAAGTCTGATGTCAAATGCAGGTTTAAAAAAACCTTTGTTTCTACTAAAGTTTGAAAACTCATGCTCAGCAGTTTAAGTACACAGATGCAGGGTGGGCTTTTTTTAAATTAGGCACAAGGATTAACAGCAATAGAGCAGTGTGCGCAGCTGTGTAGTGAAGTTAGCAGCTGATGCTTTGCAAATTATGTATGAGCAGAAGCGTGCAGCGTGCTTGATGTCTGGGAGCACGGGAGGGGAGTTTCTGGATTCTTTCTGGGCAAGTGAGATCTCTGAAGGAAGAGGAAGGCAACAGTACTGTTCTCACCCAGGCAGAGCTATCCGTGTAACGATGACGGCTGCAGATCTGCCCGTCTGCACCCGTCACCTTGCGCCGCGTCCCTCTGGGTGAATGCTGTCACTGTCTGCAGATTCTGTTGTCTTTTGTGGTGGTGGGTGTGTGAGCAACAGCAGGAGGGTGTGTTTTGAACCCAGTGCTAGTATAAGACAAGGTACTAAAGCAGTTGTATTCATGTACAGACAGTAATTGTGGCAGGCTGCTTATTGTGTAATTACATTTACTGAGTAATGGATTGCTAGAATGTTGTTTGCCGTTAGCCTCTCTTTAAAGTGCTGTGAATCCATAAATGCATTGGTGGTACGTGTTGCCACCTTTGCCAGATCAGTTTGTTCTAAACCATCACGGCCTGTGTCACGGCAACTGAAAGATAGAGCACAGTAGTTTAAATGAGGGCTTCCTTGGTGTTAATGTTGTCTGCATGCAGCTGATACAGAATTAAGACTGTATGCAAATTGTTTTATAAAACAAGATTAATACCGGCCTCACAAGTGCTGAGGTGAATGCACCGCTTGCGAATTACTTAAGACTTTTAGCAGAAGGATTGTAGAGTGATAATTTTTGCATTTTATTCTCCAGTGTTTTATCCTTTTGTGCTCGGATTTCTGACCAACAACCCTATGTCTAGCCCCACTTCCTGACAACTGGACGTTTAACTTAACATTCTGCAAAAGGCACGTAACTGAAAATCAAGTTTTCTGTTCCATGGATCTGCAGACCCCACTACGCATGATCTGTCAGTTCAGAAGTAACTGCCATCCTAGTGTCTCACGGCACTGGAGTACTAGGAGACTAGATCTTGCTGTGTATGTTCTCAAAGTTGCATTTTCTGACAGTTTAGCTTTTCTGTAGCTCTGCTGTCTGTATTTGATACAGTTGGTACAGAACAGCTGTTTTGCTTTGTCCAGAGCACTGTCACCCACCTCTTGTTTTGTTGCAGCTGGAACGTTAAAGAAATCCACCAGGCTGCTGACTATCTCAAAGTAGAAGAAGTGGTCACTAAATGCAAAATCAAGATGGAAGACTTTGCTTTTATTGCTAATCCTTCTTCTACAGAGACATCTAGCATCACTGGAAATGTTGAAATGAATCAGCAGGCTTGCCTTCTGACTCTCCGAGATTACAATAATCGGGAGAAAGCAGATGCTGCTCCTGCAGAGTTGCTTCAACCACAGGCAAAGAAAGCGGCTTTAGAAAAGAAATCTCCTCAAACCAAAAAGCGAAAGAAGAATTTTAGTTCCCCCAAAAGCATCCAGAATAAATCTGTACAATATCAGAATGATGTCACCGAGAACACATCCATTGAAATGTTTTTAGATGCAAATAAGCTGGCCATGCAGATCACGGAGCAGGCTGCCCAAGGCAATGATAACTCAGAACTACAGCTGGCCACTATGGTGGAAAGTGAAACGTTGACAGCGCAGGATATTCTCGTTCAGACTATTGCAGCAAAACAGAAACGTGGGAAGCCTCAGCAAAGCTGCGCACTGAAGGAGCACTGCATGTCTAACATAGCCAGTGAAAAGAACGCGTACCAGCTGGAGAGTTCGGGCGAAGAACTTGACCAGAAGTACTCCAAAGCCAAGCCGGTGTGCAACACTTGTGGAAAAGTCTTCTCAGAAGCCAGTAGCCTCCGTCGACACATGAGAATACACAAAGGAGTGAAGCCGTACGTGTGTCAGCTTTGTGGGAAGGCATTCACCCAGTGCAATCAGCTGAAAACTCACGTACGGACTCACACAGGTAAGCCGCTGGTCTTGTCTCATGGGCTGTGGGACTTGTAGTCACAGCCTGTCAATACAGGACTGAAAAGATCTTTGCACTCTTCTTCCTCTAGAAAATTTGTTAGCTGCCGGTATGCATCTGGGGATAGTACCTGTATCCTGGTAACATGAAATGTTTCGGCATTTTTCAGTACAAAATCATGTTTTCTGCTTTAAATGGCTGGAGAGGACTTTGTCAGTCTGAGCATGTTGATTTCTGGAAAGACTCAGAAGAGCTGGCTATCCTTTAACTCTACAGAGTGGTGGAGTGCCACAGACTATTGCCAGCAGAGCATGAAAAACTCAACTCTATTTGAAACCAGAATTTCTGGTATTTAAAAAAAACAAACAAAAACTTCAAATCCTACTTTGTCTGATAATAAAAGTGGGAAAAAATGCAGTCTTGTGACAAGTAGGTAACTTCTCCCATAGGGTCTTTAAAAAGGTAGGGGAGGTAGGGATTTTATTTAGTGAGTGCACCTCTGCATTCAACAACATTACCAGAAGTCTGTGTTACAGCAAGAGCTGCTCAACAAAGTATCAAAGAGAAATCAATTATAAATGCTTAAATGTTAAGACAACATGTCTGACTTAAAAATATTATGCACAGCAAATTGCTGGCGCCTAGAAAAATGTACAGGAGAAGCACTGTGCTCATCTTTTCGTATGTTCTTCCCTAGAGTAGGAAGACTGGATGCCAGGTTCGTTCCTTCTCTGGGCTGCTCTGGCACATCTGTTTTTCTGCTGTTGCCTTTGCTGCTGTACTTAGCCCAGCGGGGACCGGCTCCATGGAGTTTTCTTTTTGCAGCTGGCATTCAGAATTCTGAAGTAACAGTGAATCAGATGAAAATGAGTTTACTTTTGCTCTTTTTTGCCTTTGGAAAACTCTGAGCAGAGTTTCTGCCATAGAAATGCAAAGAATGCTCTTCAGTACTGTCATCTAAGACTGTGGAGTTGCATGGTCTGTGACATGAGACTGCTGGCCACCAAAACAATGTGAACAGTCAGAGAAGTTCCTGTAGCATTCTACAGCAAACACTAGCAAGACGTTAGCGAGCACTAGGCTGTACATTGAAGACTTGTTGCTGTTTGGCAGGCAAGAAAAAGCAGATCACTTCCTCTTCATTCATCTTGAATATTCAGAGTCACAAATAGATGTAACCAGCAAGAAGTCTGAAAATGTCGTAGCAGCATTCTTAAAATAATGTAGCAAAAATGGCACTATTAAAAACATTACTTTTTTTTTCCCAAAAAGTAATGTGTTCAAAAATAGTCTGTTATCTGCTGTAGTCCTGACACTGTTCCACTTCAGTGGACTGATGATGGGATGTTCCAAACTGTTATCTGTAAGAAGTAGTAGAGCAGACACCTGAGCTTTGGTCAGGTAATGGATTGGAAAGCTTTCGCATGGAAATGCAGAGAGCACAAGGGTTTTCTTTTTCTCTAGGGGAGAAGCCATACAAGTGTGAACTGTGTGACAAAGGCTTTGCTCAGAAGTGCCAGTTGGTGTTCCACAGTCGGATGCACCACGGCGAAGAGAAGCCGTACAAATGTGATGTCTGCAATCTGCAGTTCGCAACTTCGAGCAATCTGAAGATTCATGCAAGGTAGGCAAAAGTGAGATCCTGCAAATGCTTATCCAGATCTTTAGTTCAACAGGATAATTTACTCCAGTGTGAGCAAGAGTTACATGTAATTTGGTTGTTGCTGCTCTTTTTTTAATAACAGAATAAATACAGCTATGTACTTGCTTATTAGGGAAGTGATTTGTGATTTATAAACGATGCAGCCTACACACTGGTACCTGTATGGCAATGGTGTGGGCTTTGTTTTGAACTGGTTGTAGCACCAAAGAGGAGAGGGTTCCTTAGCAGGAAGTGAAACAGAACAGTTCTCACTGTTCTCTGCTATGCCCAGGGGGCTTTTTGCATTTTTGGCAGGAGCAGGAGTTACATGCCTTGTTAGGAATCATCATTTTATCTTTAAGTACACTAGAATGCAAAATGTGCCGAGTTCTCATGGTGCACATTGCATGTGCAGGGCCTGTAGTTCAGTTCAGCTGCCATTGAAATCATGGATGTGCTGATTCCCAGAGTCAACAGACAGGAAATTTCACTCCGTGAGAAACTGCTAACTCAAAACCAAACTCACAGAGTTTACTTTTTTTTTAGTTCATAAAACATTGGCACAAAGAACTTTGGGAATAAAATACTAATTGAGGAAAGTTTCTTAATCATGGGCGTTGCTTCTCTTTTTGCGAGGGGATCGCTGACGTCCGTGTTCATTTGCAGGAAGCACAGCGGTGAGAAGCCCTATGTGTGCGATCGGTGCGGTCAGCGGTTTGCTCAGGCCAGCACGCTCACCTACCACGTGCGTCGCCACACTGGGGAGAAACCTTACGTGTGTGACAGTTGTGGAAAAGCCTTTGCCGTCTCAAGTTCTCTCATCACCCATTCCCGAAAACATACAGGTAAGGGGAGACCAGGCACTGCGGCACCAGGACAGGCCCAGCAGCGGGTTGGAGATCGGTAATGACCAGGAAATCAATAGACAAGGAGTTGCCTCTGGAGCTGTCATGCAGCTCCTTGACCTTTCGCTCCCATTGAGGGAGCTCTTTCTCCCCTTGGACATTACTGCTGTTTCATTTTGATTTGTTCTTTATGTATATTCTTGTTTATATATTGAAATAACGAACTCCTTGTGTTTCCTGTAGGAGAGAAGCCATATATCTGTGGCATTTGTGAAAAGAGTTTTATTTCCTCTGGAGAGCTCAATAAACATTTTCGGTCCCATACAGGTCAGTTTTGCAGACAGGCCGCTTCCTGCACTATAAATAATATTCTACCTTTACCCTTTTGCCTTTAAAGTACACCATATTTTGCTGTACTTGAAAGTTGCGGAGTTTCTTAATTTATGTGTCTCTGTGTTAATATAATGTAAAAAAAATGTTTGTGAATTTTTTAATTGCCTTTTTCAGACTAATATATGTGTAACAGCGTGGGTGTTGATGTACGACTATGGCTTTACTTCTGATGTTTGGGTTTTTTTCTTTGTTTTAACCTATTATTCTGGAAACAATTTTACTCTGAATACAGACATAGAGGCAAAATAACAGAGTTACAAAGTTGTATTTTAGAATACAACATTGAAATCCATTATCCTACATCTCTACCTGTGTTTGCTTTCAATTTCAAGATTGTTCTAATTGCCAAACCTATTTTTTTCAGGTGAAAGACCATTTATCTGTGAAATGTGTGGAAATTCTTACACAGATATAAAAAATCTGAAAAAGCACAAAACGAAAGTTCACACAGGTGAGTTCCTTTTGCAAAGAAAGTTTAAGAAACTACATCAGCTGTTTCTCTTCCATGCTGAATAACATTTCTTTTAAGCTCACCCAGGATAAAATTAAAAAATAAAAGAGGTTTGGATAGTAGCTCTCCTTAGAGCCCAAAGCATCTACTTTAGAGGTGCCCAAAGCTTTTAAAGCATGAAGTATATGCTTTAAAGTAGATTCCAGACAGATTTTCAAGCATTTGCATTGTTGTAACAAGCACACGTTGAGCAATATAGAAGTGGATTGCTGCTGACAAGAATTTCTGTATGTGAATATTTACTTTCTTGTTCTAGTAAGTTGTGAGAGCTTGCTACATGAAGGCATAGTCTGAATTGTAGGAACTTTTTTACCTCTTCTGAATATGTCCTAGGAGCATGTCTTTACAGGGCAGTAACTGAGGTGAACAAGACATACTGTTTACATGAGTAACTTTACATCTTGAAGGCACAAATATTTTTAATGTAACAGTGAAAGAAGATTTTTTTATATATGCAGTCAATGTTAATCCAAGTCTGAGCTGGATTAGCAAACACACGAGATCAGACCAGCTGGCAGAATGTTCCCAGCTGTGAATACTGCTCTAAAAAGACTTCTCAAATGCATTCAGTTCCTATTCTAGATACGGGATTTTGATTAGGAAGAAATTTGACATCTATTGCATATGGTACAAAGCACAGAGATGTTCAGATAGCCAACCTCTTTCAGCACTGGCTCCGTACACCTCATTATCTGTCCCTCCTTAAGTGTATTAACTGTAATTCCCTTACCTCTCATGTGGAAAAAGGAATAATAGGTGTCTGTGTGTGTCCGGATTGAAACAGATGGAGCAGGCGAGGGAGGGGATGAGAAAACAAGAGTCATACACAGAGACAACTTTGAATGTCAAAAGCTTGAGAAGCCCCGTGTAGGAAGGCCCCAGTGACAGCAGGGGTGAGGTGAGAGCAGCAGCAAGCATGGAGAGCGTGTGAGCTGGGAGAGCTGCCAAGGCAGATCAGCTCTCACCAAGGGACAGAAGGCAGACAGGGGTGCTTCATCACAGAAATAACAGGCTCCAGAGCACACTTTGATAGAGGAAGGGGCAGATATCTGATTGGCTTCATCAGAAGGCCATCCAAGAGCAGTGGCCATCTGCATTCAAACAGGAGGGCAGCAAGGAATGTGTTAGCACTGATTTCAGTTAAGAATAGAAAATAATTTCTCAAGTAACTGGATAAAAACTATAATGGGTATGGGAGGAATGGAATTAACGGATTTTTTTCTTAACTTTCAAAGAAGTTTATGGATATGCGATACACTGTGCATTGCTATCCTACTGAAAAGAGGATGTTTGGTTGTAGCTGTAGGTCATAGACTTTCTGGGGTGGAAAAATCTCAAGGAAACCTTCATCATTCCATTTTCTCCAAAGCTCCTTTGTTCACTGTGATGTTAAGGATTTGTTATCTTCTGTACTGTGCCAAGTAGAGATGAAGATGAAATACATCATCTGTGTAGCTGTCCTGCTACAAGTAGCAGAGGATGCGATCTTAGTGCTTATGGTGTATTTACAGCTCATTCTGGTGTCATGGCACATTGAAGCCACCGACAGCCCAGCTGCCCAGGCAGCCTCTGACACACCAGGTGTTTGTTTGGACAGTGAGTTGAACGGGGATTTGCAGAATTTGTGTGGGAGCTTTTGAACATTGCTTTCTTCTTTCCCCCGCCCAGGATCTGAAACTCCCCCTGATCCTAATGCACTTGATAATTCTTTCAATGAGCAAGAATCCATTCAGAGTCAAAAAAGTCCTTTATCGGAGTCCATAGATGTGAAACCCTCTGAGATGGCTTTAGCACTTCCTCTTCCCATTGGGACTGAAGACCATCAGATGCTGCTTCCTGTGACGGGCAGTCAGTCTCCTTCATCGGAAACATTACTAAGATCTGCCGTGACTGGATATTCAGAACCTCAGTTTATTTTCTTGCAGCAGTTGTACTGACAGTGCAGGACAGAGCCATCAAGGTAATTGGTAGTGAACTTGCGTACCTTTGGTGAGATGAACATAATCAAGCAAGGAGTCACTTTTTTATTGAATTGGACTTGTTCCTGTTTTTCCTCTGTGTAAAGACACTTGTGAGGCATTTCCATTGTGCAGTGCTGTCTTTGGGGTTTTGTTGAATTGTACTAAACTACAATGAAATTTCTATTTGCAATTAACGCTGATTTCCAGGAGACAATTCCTTTCCAGCAACACCTGCCTTAAGAATTCTCTGTTAAATATGTTAATGTATTTTGGAGATCTCCTCTCATGTTCCTGTTGATCTGAAGTGTCACAATGTCATTTGAGAACAGACATTTTAAGCCATATTTGATAGTTTAAGAATATTAACCCAGAGGTGTAAGGGGAAAGTCATAATTTGAATGTACTACCAAGCTTGTACTCCTGCACTCCAAGGTGATACAGCAGTACATGACAGAAGGCAGGCCAATGCTCTGGTGAGGTGCTTGTAAAGAATTGCTGCTGTCTGCCAGAAGTAGCTGTCTTCAGTTGAAGTTTGACCAGAAGGAAAGAAAGTTTTGTGTATATTGTCCTGACAAGGAGAGTAAAGGAGGGTTAATTCTTTTTTCTGTAGTGTAGTAACTCAGAGCATTCTAATTGCATGGATACCACTGGGTATTCTTTACAACAAATCACCTGTTTATTTTCTTCTTTCTTTGTTTTTTTTTTTTCCTTAAGTGAATCCAGTGTTGTATCTTGTCCCAGATTTATTTTTCACGTCCCTAAGCTGCCCTGGGTTTGGCACAAACAGCAGCATTTGCTTGAAGGGAGAGCTGGAGCATGCGTGTTGTAGATGAGACGAAAAGATGCATTGACTTAATTGTGAGGCTTCAATCATAGCTTCATCATCCTTCTTTTCCAGTAGTGCTGCTGCTTGTGCTAGACAGTAGGTACAAAAAAGGAAATAAATCCTGCCCTTCACTGTGAAAATAGTGAACGCTGCGTGAGGGGGCATTAAGGAAGAATACAGCAGAGCAGACTGATGCTCTTCCAGGCAAGGGTTTGTTAGATTATGACTGATTTGTTTTAAATGAAGTATTTACGTATTGCTTTACCTGTTGTGTCACTTGTCCGCAGTAACTGCAAAAAACTGCTATCTAGCACAACTCATGTAAAGGTATGTTTTATTACTAGCAATGTACATTTTTAAAAAGCAACATTTTTAGTGTCTTCGTAGGGTCATTAGTTAAAGACTAGTTAACAATAGGAGTACTTTTATACTCCGTTTTGCCAGTTTGTGCCATTAACGTAATGTAAGCATTATTTAAGTAATCATCAAATAGTAAGGGAACAGTCATAATACTGTACCAACAATGCATTTAAAGATATTATTTGTTGGTTATTTACTTGGTGCTAGCATTTTATTTCCACTGATGCCTTGTGTCCAGACACTGATAAACAGAAGAGCGTAGGAGATACCTCTTAACTGATTCTGTTCCACATGGAGTAACAATCTGCACCTTAATTAAATAGACTTGTTAAATATTTCTCGGAGGATTTCATTTACATATTCTGCAAATGATCCCTTGACTCCTGAGCATGACTGTAGATTATTTTTTCACTTCCTACGTTTGTACTTGTACAGTAATAGACCTTTTGCTTCTTTGTGTTGATCATCGTAGTTTGTGGCATGTTTAAAACTGCTGCTTGATCATATTTTATGCTTTAATATATGGCCAGTTTGCTGATAAAGCCTACCATGGACAGCAAGGAGTGCAGCCGTGTTCACCAGGAACGTTCTTAACGCAGGCATCTCTAACTCTGTCCACTGCAGCTAATTACTGCCATTCCTGCCTGACCTTCATTTGCTTTGCTCATCTGTACTAGGACATTTATGAACAGCTGATGTCCTTCACAATGCTGGCAAAGGACAATGGATGAAGTTCTCTGGGGTTTTTTTCCTGTTTGTTTGGCATTCCCTCCTTTCCTCCTCTCTTTTCTTTTTTTAACCTCTGTTGCTGATGTACCACCTGAAGGATTCCTTAGCCTTGCCATTTAAGACTGAAAAGCCACAGAGATTGGGGTCTTAACTGTGCAAAAAAAGCGAACTCCTGTGTAGCTCCTCCTAAGGTTCCTCTTTACTTTGTCTCTCTCTGAAAATAGAGAAGTCTTGGGATAGACGTAGGTCATGAATACTGAAAGAGAACAATACCGTACAATTGATAAATTTCATACTCAAACAGCTTTGGAAGATAAACTAATGATATGCTGCTGTTTTCTGAGGAAGAGTATCTGAAGATGAACACATCCAGGATAAATGACCACAAGAGAGAGCTAGCTCTGGAAGAAAAGTTTAAAAAATCACATTCCTACATAGAAAATGCATTCCATGACAATGTTTGTTTGAACTGTTTTTATATTTCTAAAATTATAGCTTATTACTGTATTCCTAGATTTCAGACTTTTTTAACAAATACAGTGCTTAGATTTATACAGGATTTGTTTAGATACTTATAACAGTAACACTTGCTTTATTAGTCATTTAGTTTTCTTTATAGACAAGAAGATATTAATTATTTTTTACAAGACAACAATTTTAACCTTTCTTAATAGAATACACAGGCTTGTAGTTTTGTCTTGGAGCAATAACTTACTGACCTGCACTCTTGAGTCCCCATCTGAGAGTCTTGATTTTTATCCTCATCTTTCATGAAGATATCTCAGCTGCTGAGTTATGACCTCTATGAACTGTGTTAATTTACTACAATATAGATTTTTAAATAAATTTATATATATATATATGTGTGTGTGTATATATATATATATAAAGGCTGGGTGCTGTAGGACCTGAAGAAGCAGGTCTGTACTATACCTTTCGCCAATAGATGCATGGAAATCAGCTGCACATCTAATTCCTAGGCTTAAGGATTCAGAGTTCCTTTTGGAGTTACAAGGTTGATAATTTCAACAGTATTGATAATTTCTGTAAGGGATTAATGTGGGAAAGCATGGAATCTTTTTAGGCAAACATCTCCTTCTTGAGACCTGCCTGCAAAATGAAAGAGGTTTGGTAATTTTGTTAACAGTAGTTTAATAGAAAATGACAGGATTTGTCACGCAGTTGCTTCAGTTCTGCACTGAAATCAGTGCAAGTTTTGCCCGATAGGTTATTCTGCATCTAGAAATTTCTGAATTGAATATTGATAAATACTTCCGTGAGAATAACTCCTTGTACAACACTTCAAAAATACGTGCCTAAATGTGGGCACAAAGCATGGCAACTTTTCTGAAATCATGCATTTCGAAAAACAAGTCCCATGTTAAGGATTTCAGGGCTGTGATCTTGGAGAGGCTATTGACAAGCCTTGCAGAATTACGTTCAGATAAGGACTAATAACTGATTTTTTGGTTAAATTATTTTTAAAGTATCTTTCATGTATATACATTTTTCCTCTGTTACTTGTATATAGCTAAACTCTCAATTTTATAATCCCATGGGAAGGGAGGGAGTTGTACGTATTTAGCCTGAAGTGTTTTATGTTAGACTTTAATAAACTTGTTTTGTAATTTTCCCTCAACTTGTGTCTCCTGTTTCTAACTGCAAGGGGTGGCAACAACAGAAGGAGACCAGGAGCCTAACACGAGCACCACCCTGTCAGAAGGACCCTCGGTAACCCTCTGTGCAGCGTGCTGACACAGCAGGGATTGCTGCCTTTCCTCTCTGCAGTCAATACACCTCATTTTTCTCATGGAAGATATCTCATGTCTGTTCAAACTAAATTAAACAGAAACTTTATTCTAAATACAATCTAGTATAATGATTCTTAGGTTAATTTTATTCTACTTGTTTTGAGGTGTTTGGGAAGGGGTTTTTTTGGGGTGGTTTGTTTTGTTTGGGGTTTTAAAAATTTTTTTCACAGAGTGCTTTGAAGATCTCCTTTTTGTGGTAAAATAGATATTCAGTGAGTATCAGAATTTGTATCTTAAATTATTTTTTACTACACTGAAAAATTAAGATACAAATTTTACAGTAGGTGGCATGGTGGCTAGAGCACATAGTAGGACGTAAGGGACCTGCGTTGTACCTCTGACCTGCTGGATCAGTCATTTTCCTTCCCTTTAAATTGGGACAAAAATGCTGCCTTTCAGCAAGGTACTGCGGTTCTGGAAGCTGGAACAATGCAGAGCAGGATTATGCTTGCTTTAGATACTAGAATAATTCAGAAGAACATGGCAAAAAATTGTAGTTATGTAAATTCTGAGATGCCAAAGAACACACGATACGTCTCTTAAGAATGTCAAGGTTTGGTTTTCAGAGATATTGTTGCCATCTTCCCACATCTACTAAAAATAAAATACTGCTGTTGGTAGAGTTGGGACTGACTTGGTAGATTTGATTCCCTGCTACCACAGCAAATTAATGAATCTCATTCAGTATATCCTCAACTTTTGTTCCCATTGCTCTGTTTTTCCTGATCTACAGTAGTTGAAATCCAAGCTCCTCTGCAGAACAGGGTTTTCAGTGTGACCTATGGACTTCATGCTTAACAAGATGAGTACAGGTTAAGATGTCCCTGTGCAGGGCACAAAGATGATTCATTTCTGGTCTCCTGCTCTGCCCTCACCTTTTGGGTGTCACATCTGTTAGGCTGCTCTGTGACAAGAACATGGGGGAGCTCCATGTCTGGAGGGTGAAGAAAGCTTGATCAGGTATCACAGGCAGGCAAGGAGGCTGAGGGAGCAGAGACCTCCATGGCGGCTTGTGTGTAGTATAGCAAACATACCTACTTTGTGGGCCTACCTCCAAGTTCTCTTACAATACCAAGTGCTTTTTGGATGAAGAGAGCTGGAGTAATTTGTATTCAGGAGAGAGGAAAAAAAAAAAACACCACAACAAATCCACTACTTAAAACAGCCCTTGATAAAACTCCTGACCTGAGAAGGTCTCCTAAATAGAGTGTAGTTCAATTCATGCACCTGCACTGCTGTGGTCTAAATTCTTCACACGCCTCTGGTCACTGACTGTTCTACTCCCTGTTAGGGCTAAGGATACTCGGTGTCGCTCCTGATGCACTATGTAGTGCTGCAAATGTGTTTTCTCTTAACATCTTACTTCAGTGAACTCTATCACCTGACAACCCTTGAACTACATCTAATCATAGTAATGTGAAGGAGGTAGTGTACAACAGAAATAACTGCAGCAAAACTAATGCCTCTTCATATTAATAGGCTTTTAAGTTTGGCCATTCTTAGCAACAAATTTTAAGGTCACTGGTTTGATATTTTATCT